CAGCTGGAGCCCCATGTTCCAGCCTCTGTCCTAGCATTCTCTCTTGTAACTGACGCGGCTACCATACAGAAGGTCCTGTGCTGCCTGTCACTCCTCCTCTGGGTTCTCAAGTACCCAGGGCTAGTGCACTAAAGAACAAAATTCTTAGATACCAGCTGCCTGGCTGGTCCAACCTGCCCCTCTGTCCAGATTCCCAGAGCAATGTTTTGACCATTTAGGACCGACTGTGGGCCTCTCTGAGACAGAGCCTTCAACACAACAGTGAGTCTGACTGATGACTGCTGGCTGTGAGCCTGGCCCCTAGTACCTAGTCCCTCCTTAGACGATGATTCCAGTGTCAGGTCCTGACTCTTCCTTTTGTCATTAATTGTGGAATAAAGAAATGTCCTTCTCTGACCCCATGCATTTTTAATTAGCTTCTTTATGATGATTACTTTGGGTTTTGATGTCTTTGGTTCGGTGGCTGAGCATATCTCCTCTACCCCTAGCAATGCAGAACCATTACAGAAGACATTAGTAAGGCTCCTGCTCTCAGGAGTTTCTCAGAGTGCTCTGGAGTCTCCGTGAGGAACAAAACTGTGTTTTAAAAAATGGTCACATTTCATGTTCTCCTTAAGCCCCCCTTTTATACGCCCTGAGACATAGTTAATCAACTCCTTCTCAGCTTGCAATTCACGAAAATGCTCCTACAGGAACTCCAGACCCCTACTCCTGGGGGTTGCAGGCTGAAGGCCACCCTCCACCCCAGCAGGGTCGCTAAACTCAAGAATCTGGTAAGAAACAAGGCAACTGATTGTCATTTCCATATTTCCCTCCAACAGGGCCCAGGGAGGATATTGAAACTGATTCCCCCAGACAGCCCTGAATATCCCCTAGTTCATAAGGGTGGTTTTTTTTTTTTAAAGATTTTATTTTTTCCTTTTTCTCCCCAAAGCCCCCCGGTACATAGTTGTATATTCTTCGTTGTGGGTCCTTCTAGTTGTGGCATGTGGGACGCCACCTCAGCATGGTTTGATGAGCAGTGCCATGTCCGCACCCAGGATTCGAACCAACAAAACACTGGGCCACCTGCAGCAGAGAGTGCGAACTTAACCACTCGGCCACGGGGCCAGCCCCCATAAGGGTGGTTTTAATAGGATTTACAAACTATATAATTTATCTTTATTTGGTTTAGACTTGTGGCACTGAATTCTCTTACCCTCGGCAAGGCAGAGGTGTGTATACATCAGCAAAAAAAGGACCAACACTTTAAAATGTTGTTGTAGGAACCAGATCATTCTCAGTGATTAATTTTTTTTTAAATGTTGTAGAATATTTCTGCAGTTTCTTGTCAGCTGGTCTTTTTCACCAAATCTATCTCTTTCCTAACATCAAGAGGTGGTAAAGCTTTGCATGTAAAAGTCACAACAGTAATAGTAATAATAATGAAAATAATAATAATTTATACGATCCTTACTGGCTGCCAGGTACTGTACTGAACACTTTATGTACACGAACTCCTTAAATTCTCAGAAGAACACTGTGCAGGAAGTATGGCTGTTCCTCATTCTTAGTTAAAAAACTGAATTGCAGAAAGGTTAAGAAACTTAACCAGGGGCCGGCCCAGTGGCGCAACAGTTAAGTTCGCACATTCCGCTTCTCGACGGCCCAGGGTTCACTGGTTCAGATCCCAGGTGTGGACATGGCACCACTTGGCACGCCATGCTGTGGCAGGTGTCCCACATATAAAGTAGAAGAAGATGGGCACGGATGTTAGCTCAGGGCCAGGCTTCCTCAGCAAAAAAAAAAAAGGGAAGACTGGCAGTAGTTAGCTCAGGGCTAATCGTCCTCAAAAAAAAGAAAAGAAAAGAAACTTAACCAAAGCTAGCTAGGAAGTGGCAGAACAGAAATTCAAACCTAACCCATCTTTCATACCTGTGAAAATGCATACAACTCAATAAATAGCGTTTGTGTATCACATCCTCGCCCTCTTTATGAATACTGAAACAGAGTTAGAATGCCTTCCAACTGTTTCATGAAACAGCATTGACGTTAAATGTGGCCTCTGTGCTCTATTTGGGGCACATATTTTGTTGGTGTGAACATTATTTGAACAAGAACTTGCTAATAATTTGAGCAGTTGTAACTTCAAAATCTTGATGTCTATTACACAGATCACTATTAACCTTGACATTCAATTTTTTAAAGTTTCAACTTCACGGTTACATGAGTAATTTTCTCTCTCAGAGTTATGACAGCGTTCATACGCTCTTCCCTTTTCATCTGGTACTTTTGGAAACATGCGATAAGACAGCTTGCAGCATGATTAATAGATTAGTACACATAGCATTTCTCTACTCTCCTGTCTACTTTTCCTGAAGACATTACGTTCTCTTGCAGTTTCTCCTTTATCGCTCTCCATTTGCCTCTATTTTCTTCCAATGAAATTTACTTTTCCTTCCTCTCATCTTTGAATTTCCTTCCCTCTCTAACATCATGTGAGTCACTTGAAAGCTGCTTGAGCTTAGATCTCCTGGATGACTTCTAATCATGGAAATTCTCATTATTTGATACTTCCATTTACTTGGATTATAGAGACATGCCAAAGTTTATTTTGCAAAACAGTCTTCTCGGTCCTGGCAGAAAACCTATCACTCCATTACAGCTGTGCCATGTATCTGTAAAGAAACATCATTTTACTTTAAATATATGTTCACACGCAATAACAAAGGCGTTAATTCTAAGGGTATTGCAGAAAGCATAGTTGGCCACTGCTTCTAGCATCTTCAGGATCTGTCTTTCCTAGTTGTGACCTCAATAATACATTTCACAGAGTCATGAACTGTCCTTGTCCCAGGGTCAGGATTCCAACCTATTCACTACGACACAGAAGTAAAACATGTTTCCCCTTCTATAACCAACGGTTCCAGTCTAGATGTTAAATACGTGCTTGCTCTTGTGTGTATTAATTGAACCCTTCTCCTAGACTTTCAGGCTCTATCAGATCCTTCTCCTAAAATTGTGTTGTTGTGATCCATGCCCCAGCACGTCAATATTGAAATGTTTGAGGAACAGGTTCTAGCCATTTTAGTACCCTAAATCTCATCTTTCTATCCTTCAAAGGAATTTTTCATAAAATGTTGAAACAAATTTAAAAACTCATTGATAATATTCATTAATACATTATTGAAGATTCTAAGCAACTGTCTCTTTTATAGGCAACATAATTACCAGTGAATTACAAGTGCAGACTTTATGACTCCAATTAGACTCTAGGCCACAATCCATTAAAAACAGATTACACACATTACGTTAGATGTAAAGAAAAATAAATGTGCCACATGAGTCGAACTATCAAAATAAAGGAGGAGAAACAGTTTCAAACAATTTATGTTTCTCTAAAATTTTTATCAACATAATCTAAAGTGCTTTCTTGAAAATCATCAGAGGAAAAAATTCTTATACTTAATTTTCACATACATATAATCATACTTTCTCTTACTTACTTCATTATTTTATTTCACCTGAAGAACATCTTAGAAAGTACCTCCCAAGAATAAGAGACTGGAAAAGATTCTACAATTTACTCATAAGAGCATTAGATTTTTAGTTTTAAGAGTATTATAATTAAACTCAGAAATATTAAATTTTAGGGATTTTATTTTGTAAGAATTAAATCAAGTGACAAAAAATTAATTCAAAGCAAACTGAAATTTCAACATCATTGTAAAACTGCTTAAGAGAACAGATCTTAAGAAAATGTCGTCAAGGACTGTTCCACCTCAGTTTCCACGCTTGGGAGACTCATTTCTCACAGAAGTGTCTTCTCTGATATTTTTGAATGCTTAAGGATAGGGTTAGTATGAAAAGTCGCTTTTTAAATATATGTCTACAAAGTTTCATTCTACCTAATCTTTACTCCCATCGGTCAGATCTCATTTCTCCAGTGAAAAACAAAGGGATAAGAAAGATGTTAGTTGAATCTAGCATCTCTGACATGGGCAAGCACGCTTGAAGCAGAGGAGAGGAGGCTGAAGCAGAGCCAAAGTATGCTGGAGCAAGAATACTCGGGGACAGAGAAGGACACAAGAAAACAAACACACAGAGTATTTCAAATAGAAGGTTAAGAACCAATTCAAAGTATTTTGAAGGTATCATGTAAAAGAAAATGAGATCATTTAGCACAGGTATTCTAAGAAGTTGAGGAGATTCTGATGTTTTGGGGAAAGGGTAACATGGCTGATAGTAACATTTAAAAGATGGACAAAAGGACATTTCCATCAGGAGGCCTAGAGAACACACACGGGCAACAACAATACCCCTTGCATGGCTCCACACAGAGAAAAAGAGAAAGGCAAAGATGTAAGAAAGTGATTGGAGAGAAGATATTAAGTGGTAGAAAAACAGTACAAAAATAAAAAAGAGTTATGCTTCTGAGAAGATTCTTAAACTATGTCTGCATTTAAGATACACCTTACCACGGTTGTCAATTTAGAATCAACCTGAAATATGTTCTTCTTGGAATACCCAGTTTTTCTCACCTAATTCATGCAAGGTTTCACAGAGCCACCAATGGCCTGGGAAAGTTCAACAATCAATATGTTCTCAGTACCACACTACTAATGGCAGGCATCTTATCAAGAAAATAGAGGCAAAGCAACTTGTCGTCTATGACGTTTTCTGCTACTTAGCATCAGGAGAGGCTAATAATTAAACAAAAGGAGGAGATGCTGGTGATGTCAACAATTTAACGAAAACAAAAGGAACTGTTTCATGGACAGCTAAGGATTGCTGGACTAAATCACCATCTCTCATAGGAAATCCTGAAAAGAAATGCGTCTAAAGCCTAGGTAGAAGAAAATAACTTTTAGAAGGGAAGGAAATAATTTTGTGACTTAGGAATTTTATGAAGGTCCTTCGTGTGTTCTTTTGGGTTCTAATTCTCTTTCAGTTTTCACTACTAAGCATCCAGTTACTACGACTTTTTTGTGGAAGGAAAGTAAAATAAGCCTGTGCCTTACCGCCTCCACTTCGGCAGGGTCGTACCACACATTGATGTATGGATGCTGTAAGGCGTCGTCCACAGATATCCTTTTTGCTGGGTCAATCACTAGCATCTTTGACAACAAGTCCCTGGCTTGGCTGGCTGAAACGATGAATGAGAAAAACAATTAGTAAAATTTTCATTTTGGCAAAGAAATTTGTTGGAGGGAAAGGAAATTAAGAAAACAAGACCAACTAGCACCTTCTTTCCAAATGTCAGGTAACTTCAAGTGATTAGGGAAATGCATAGTGGAAGAAGAAAATATTTTTTATCGATCAGACTTGCAAAAGTAAAAGATAGTATACTATCCACTCACACCAGGTAATTTCCTTCATGTTGGTGAGAGCGTAAATTGGTACAGATTTTTTAGATGCGAATTGGGCAGTATCTATTAAAATGTGAATACCTTCTGACCCAGCAGGTCCGCTTTCAGGTAGACAGCCTAGAGAAACGATTGCACATGTTCATGAAGAGCATCCAGGAAGGATGTTCGCTGTAGCATTGGCTGTGGAAGGAAAAACTTCTCACAAGAGTTTACATTTCCTTCCATAGAACAATGAAATGAGCTATGGCACAACTGCATCATGGACTTGTTTGGCAGTCCAAAAGAAAGACGTGGATCTATATGTACTCACATGGACATGTTGTTCAGTGAAAAAAGAAGTTGCAGGATGATCTGAAGATCATGATGCCATTTGTGTAGTCTGCCCCTTCCCATTAAAACAGCAAACATTTCCCTGCCTCTCTGTGTACGTATACAAATGCGTAGAAAATGTCTGCAAGGTAACCAACAAACTGAAAATAGTAGTTACCTCTGAGGAGGGGAGAATATGTACATGTATTGCTCGTATAATTAAAAATAAATTTAAAAGAATAAAGTTTTTAAAAGGGAGGAAGTTAAAGTGGGTGGAGAGTGCTCATTTAAAAGCTTTTCTGAGCTGGGAAAAGAGATAAAGCAATGTCCAGAGGGAGGCAAGGAGGTGAGGGGTCACTTTTTGAGGAAGGGAGAGAGGATGAAACTTGAACAGGCAGAAGCTTCAAGGAGACAGAAGAAGGGGTAGATGTGAGAGAAAGAATCCACAAGACGTAGTAATCAAATTGATGGGGGGATCTAGTTAAGTTTATAAAATAACTAAATGTCTACTGTGTGCCAGGTACAGTGTAGCTGCCAGGCACACAAAAAGAAAATCATCTGGTGATAATCAGTAAGTGCATTTAATTACATTGCTAAAGGACATTCAGTTTTTAATCTCTAAAAATACATAAAATTTTTCAGAAAATGTAGTTCCAAACTGATCTGAACGTTTTACAGTGAAAATATTCAATTTGTTCCAAATATATGATAAAACTTCAAATTAAAGAGAACAAATCTAGATTGGCTTGCTAAATTAGGAAAAAGGCAATGTGTTTGAGTCCATGGAAATGTACCAATTTTTATTTATCAATTTTTCTGATTTTTAAGGAAATGCAGGTTAATTATGGAAAATTTAGAAATTACGTAAGACATAAAATCCAGAAAAACCAACTTTCCCCACCATCTAGTGGCCAAAACTCTCCTTATTGGATATTCTCTTCTAGTCTTGTCTATGTATTTTTTCATAATTTTTATTATACTACAGTTAAAATGTAGTTATCAATTTTTTCACATGTTCTCAGACATTAATATTTTCTTGTGTTTTTATGTTTTAATAAATACACTTTTTATGTATTTATTAATATTACTTACTTATATACAGTCATGAATCACTTAACAACAGGGATGTGCTCTAAGAAATGCATCATTAGGTGATTTCGCGTTGCGTGAACATCACGGAGTGTACTTACACAAATCTAGATGGTATAGCCTACTACACACCGAGGTTATCTGGTAAAATCTTATGGGACTATCCCCCAAATATGTAGTCCATCATTGACCAAAACGTTGTTATGCGGTGCATGACTGTATTTATAAAAAATCGCTAGTTAAATGAGACTTTAAGACTTTTTATTTTTATTAATAATTTTTCTGGGGATCTCAATTCTAGATATTTGATTTTTGATTTCTGCTACTTTCAAACTGAAGCTCACAAGAATAACAAAAGTACAGAAATATTTATACATTTACTTTCAATATTTAATCTTTCTCATTGCCAATGACCCCCTGGAGGCCCTACAGAGCTGTATTTATTTATTTCATTGATCAAAGATCTCTTTGATTTGTAACTGATTTTATTCCTACAGTCACACACCCCCGTCCCATAGATGCAACCATCAAACCCACCCATGTTTCTTTTCTTAGAAAGGGTGTGGATTGGGGTGGGCTCCTCATCAATAGGGGTATGAGCTACAGTAATGCCAAATCATCTAAGAAACACGATCAATACTATTTGTAGGGAACAAATTAAGGCAAAGGAAAAAGTTTCCCTTCCTCATCTTTTATTCTTTCATTTGCAAGTAAATGTTTTATGCTTTTTTTAATAACAGTAGAATAAATTCTTTCCTTTGATTATTTGTATAATTCTTTATAATTTTCTAATTTTATATTAAAATTATAATTAAATAATTATAAATATGTAGACTAGTTTATCTTTTGCAAATATAAGGTAATCATAGAGGTTCAAATTGGATTAAAAAGCCAAAAAATAAACTCCAGTATGATGGAATTATATTTTGAAGCATGGTATTTTACTTAATAGTTTTTCTACAAGTCCTGCTTAAATTATCTCCAATAATTTAATCAAGGCCTTCTCATCTCCATATTGTTACCCTACAAAAGTGTCTTCATATGAAAAGATTCCTTTTGCCTGACACATCAATTAGCACCATAAAGACATCAAATCTTTAAAACCTCTGCTTAGAGAACAAGCTCTTCTTCAATCTGCGTATAGCCGGGGTTGATCTTAAAAACAGTAGATTTAGTAATAATTTAATCTGTTGCCACTCAGCAAGCAGCTAAGGGAAGAAACCCAACTGTGCAATACAAGTGTCACAAACACAGAAACAATGCTGCACATTTAAAACTCACCAGCAGAAAGCTGGGAAGAGATGCTAAGACCCTGGGAAAGAGCAGCGCCACATTTTAGTTTCTCTGTCTCATTTCAGTCTGTATCAGCTATAAATTAAGTGTAGCTAACTAATTGCCTACCAAACATTTGGGGTACAATCTCAAAAGCATGTATCCTTTTCCTTTTTGGATAATGTATAGATATATTTTAAATAATAATTATTGCATTAATTATTACTTTTATATCTAACAGTTACTGATCATTTACTGTGAGCCAGGCACTGTTCCAAGTGCTCGACAAATTATTTAGTCAATTAATCCTTCCAATGACCCTCTAAGGTAGACACTTTCTGCCTTCATTTGTTACAGGAGGTACAGAGAGATTAGACAACTTGCACAGGTTTACACAGATTTCAAGGAACTGAGCCCAGGCAGGGGGAAAAATCTAATATGTCTCAAAATCAGGTTCTCTGGAACTTCCTAAATTAAAATAAGAATGAGCCTATCATTTATATTATACTTTACATATTGCCAAATTTATTCCTTGTCTCCAATCCTATGACAGCCATTATTATCCCAGTTTTTTAGGTAAAGAAAATAAGATTTGTTACTAAAGCTCATAACTGCAGAGATAGTAGTAGAAAGAATTGCTTATTAATGAAAGTGTTTATATTGAATATCAAATGTGTAGGTAAAATCTCTTTTGTCATTCTAAAGTGAAAAAATGGTAGTTAAGCATTCCATAAAATACAAATAAAACTCAAATACCTGCATCTTTAGGATTTTACAACCAAAAACTTGTGTTGAAAATATTTTCCAGGTAATAAAAAGAAGTGGAACAATAATTTCAATGCATATTACATTGGTCTTTTAAAGTTACACTGCAAAATAATTTCAAGATGATAAATAAGCCCAATGAAATAGTCAACCCACACCACCGTCACACACCTTATTGCTATCCTTCCCTCTGAATATCCAGACAGGTCTAAAATGCTTGGCCACTCCCCCTTTGTAAGAGAGATCTTTTAAAGATACCTTTCCTTAAATTGAGGTGGTTCAAGTTAAAGACAGGAGTTTTTACCATTCACTTATTCAGCCGGTCACCCACGCAATGGTTCTGAAGTTGTCCCTGATGGGCGTACCTTTGAGTTTATTGTGCTCGGAGTCCGCTGGGAAGAGGGAATCTGGAAAGAGCTTGGGGAAGGTGAGTCCTGCATACTTGGGCCGATTCTCCACATAGTTTCGTACTGTGGGTTGCAATTTCTTCATGAATTCCGGACAGGGTGTTCCTAGTTGTTCAATTACCTTGTTCCACTGGTCAATATCTGAGAATTGAATAGTTAAGGGCAAAAAGAAGTGCAGGCCACTAGCTCTTGCCTTTAACTAGTTGGGGGACTAATCTGCTTCTCAGAATCCTGAGCAGTCGTCAATACAACTGGAGTTTTAATAAGCAACAAAAGACAAAAATATAAAATCAGAATTGTTAGGCAATGAATACTTTTGGAATTTTAAGTTCGCTTCTGGAACATATACACTTTTGGAGAATTAGCATCATGTAACAAAATAGGATATCATGAAATACCTCTGGGTTGTAAAGATGAAAGGTATTTAGGTAACACAAGAAGGATTTCTTATATTGAGACAAACTTCTACATAACCATGTGATTAGAAGAGAAATAATGACACATAATCATATTTTCATGACATTACCTCAATCATTTATTTTGTAAAAATGACAAACAAATATTTTATAAGATTCACTTACATCTTTCCTAAATTTCTTTTAAGGTTTTTGTTCTTTTCTCTACCAAATAGGAAATTTCATGATCTATTAATGTTTTCTACTCATATACATTATATGTGGGATCAATAATTCTTCACCCAAGGCTTAAAAAATTTCTATCATCAAAGTAGGCACAGTTGTTCTTACTTCTGATAGTAGTGCCCTGCATCCTGAATATTGGTTTCAATGAGATATGATGGGAAACATAGGATGCTCAATTTAAGACAACAGATTTCCATCCAAGTGTATGTGTTTCAAAAGTACATTAAATATGGAGAAGGCTACAAAAAAAATTACCTCTCTATGAAAATTAATACCCTCCAAAATTGGGGAGTCTTTGACAGACATACACACTGATTGAGATTTTCTTTTTCATCTATCGTTAATATTTGATATATCAGAGCCTTGTGAATAATAGACACCACCCACGAGAACTCTCCAGAACCAACTGGAAGAAGCTGATTTCCAAAAGATTTCCTTGCCATGTGTCCATGAATGACAGAAGCCTTAGAAATCCTTAAATCCAGTATCACAGGCAGTGCTCTCTCCCATGATGCTTCAGTCTACAATGCTATTCTTCAGGGTTAAGTTAATTAACTCATTTCTGTTAATGTAATTTGTGACAGTTCAGGGACCTTACCATAATATTACTTAATTGAGATTTGGAAAATCTTTACCCCTAGCTATTCAGTAGGTTTGGACTAAAAAGATTGAAAGTCCTAACAGAAGACAAAATTAACTATATTCAACAAAAATAAATATATAATGCAAACAAAGTAGACAGGAGATTAAACAAAGATAGAATCAAGCTAATTTGCAAATCTTCTTCTACCTCCCTTATAATCTGGCGAAATAAAATTTAAATTATTACATATCCCCTTAGTTATTGGGATAAAAAATATATGATTGTGTAATATCAAGAAATAAAGTGAGAGTGGGAAAAACTGAAGAATATTCCTTTAAAACAGTGGGGAGAATTAAACAAGAACGTGTTTCAATAAAAGGTCACATAAGTTACCACGTGCATGAAAATACAGTAGTAAGTCAGAATCATTAGAAATAAAGAAACTAAAAAATTACAAAAGATTAGAGTTGAAAGTTACTCTTAGACAAATACTTGTGTTAGTACCATGGATATAGGTAAGCTATAACTACTTAGTCATATTTAAATAGAGAGCATTAATATAGTTAAATAAATCTCAGTGCTTACATTGTGAAGTATGAGAAGAGGTCTTCTCTCTAATACAGTTAGGCTATCGTGCCCTACCAAAGCCATCATTTAATCATCGGTCAACCCTCCTTAGAATTCTAAGGACTTGCTGTCAAGCTAAAAATAAGGGCAAAGAAGCTGTCAGATTTTTTGTAAAGGAATCATTTCACAAAATTGGAAAAATTCTCCTAAGACACTATTATATTCTAGTTAAATTTAGCTAAAGTTAGTCAGTAAAAAAATTACTTGCTTTTTTAGTAGCATTCCCCCCCAAAATTCCCTAGTATTTTTACAGTCAAGTTTAAGGAGAGTCAAATATTCTGAAATTTGTTAAACAAGAACAGCTAAAATGTTTCTTTTTTAAAAGTTATAATTAAAGTCTACGGAAGCACACAGTGTACCATCCTACTTTAGATGGGTTTTTAGATGAAACACTACTGCGATCCTTCATGTAATGGTTTACAAAAAGGGAGGCAAGAATCTTTATCAATTAAATAGTTGAATGTTTTAATTGCAAATATGTGGTATAATCATCTTTAAAAGTATGTGCGTTTATTTTAACCAATCCATTTCAAGTTCTTTCTTCCTCTAAACACAGATAGTTATGTTTAAGCGGTAAGTGCTTGTTTTCCAGACATTCACAGGATTGTGACATGAACGCTATATCCAACTATACTTAGTTCGCCACATGATTTTTCTTTATAATCATAATTAACCAAAAATAAGCCAATACTGAAAAATCATATCTCCTGGCCCCAAGTCCAGAGCTTGTTCCAAAGATTCCAGTAAGGAAAAGAGCAAGTTTAAAACCGATGTGGTAGAAATTGCTTTAATTTGGCCATGAAATTGATGGTATATTTGTCACAAGAAATTCCCCTTAAAGAATGTCTCTGAAATTGCTTCCCTAGTCTCTCAGGTCAACATTTTCACAAAAAACAATTAATTTTGTTAATATTTTAAATAGAAAATAAGGTGATATATTTTTAAAAGAAATTTTTTTAAATCATCAGATTTCCACAATGATGATTTTTTTAAAAATATATAAAATATTAGCTAGATTTTTATGATTATGTACTAATGTTAACATAGCAAATATTTTTTAAAAAGAATGGCCAAAATTATTTTTGTAAAAAGAGTCATTTGCTTTAGAACACTCGTAAGTGGTCTTTTTCATACTATATGAGTCAAGATCTAAATATTTGTAAATTTCTGCCTGTGCTGTTATCAAAAAAACAATAAATATATCTTTTTATATTTTTGCTCTGCTATTTCAGAAATTATTACACTTACAGTTACCAAAAGCATTTAACAAAAATGGGAAAATGTCATCTAATAGAAATTGACAATTTTCTCATTTAAATCTAAATTCACTATATAAAAAGTCACATTACAAAATGTTTGATTTTATAGAGTACGCTGACAAGATAATGTGCAAATATTGGCTATTATTAATGCCTTCAATAAATAGTATTGTAATAGATGACTAAAACAAAGTAAGTGTGGATTGTAAAAACGAGTATCTGAAATCCTAAGATTGAAAATTATTCTAGTTAATTTTATCAGTTAGCTCAGAACCTACATTTAGGCACTCCTTTAACTTCCTTGGTTGAGAACTTTCTAAAATACGTCACAAACTGCCTTGAACGTAATATACAAAAAATGTCTTCTTTTCTGGGTATGAACATAATTTATACTATGCACATTAAAGAGTTGTTTAATGACCTCATTTTGCTGTGCCTTTTGAATTACTGTATCTTCTTTTTAAGGTTTTTTCCATCAATGATTACCTTTTGTTCTCATGAATATAGTTTCCAGAGTTGACACCTGCATAGATTCAGACTTGCTTTCTACTCTGCTCCAAGCCTTCTATTTAACATTTTGTGCAAAAATTTTCTGACATCTATTTGCAACTTAAAGAATATCACTGTTTGTCTCCAAATTCTTAACTACATTTTTACAGATAATATTGCCTAAGAGCACTGTTTGTTTAGAGCAGTTTCAGGGGAGGCTTTTTTAGATTGCAAGCCAACCAGCTGCCTTGGCACGGTGTTGGGTATTATTGTGTGGCTTTATGCTAGCCCTGTAGGAAAGAACACTATAATCAATTAGCAATGTCTGCAATGAATGTACAAGAAAGAAGTGAAGGCATGCATGCCTTGTGTTAGGCATCATGATATTAAACTGTGGTTCCGAAACTTGAATATTCATTACATAGGGAACTTACAAAAATATAGATCCCTTCCCTCTCCTTATTGGTCTAAAGATTCCGAGTCCGTAGGTCTTAGATGGTATCATAAAAAACAAAAACACCAACAGTAATTGCAATCCAGTCACCTCTGGAATACATTTTGAGAAATACTAGCGTAGAATATACTAACAGTCTCTTGTGAACTTCTAAGTTCAGATTTAAGAATAAAGTACTAATACATTTCAGTTTTATGATGTAAATTAGAATAGGATCAGTTTCACCAAAAGATTATTCCACATTTATTTGCTATGGAAAACTTAGGGGTCGTTCACCCAGAAATACTTCAGGGAAAGAAAATTTTAATATTTATCCCTTTTCTCTGTGTTGCTTTCCTGAAAAGACCATGAGAAATAATAGCAAGTGGTACACCTAAGGTCCCAGCAGGAGAGGGGGCTGCCTATCATCATCAAGGGAAGGAATGAAATCACGTGTTGCTATCACCTGTGGGTGCTACTTACAGAAAGCGCAAAAGCTATTCAATATACAGTTCAAAATATTGGACCATATATTTCAGTATTTATTCCATATTTCCCTATGATAGAATTTGCTCTATCTAAAAGTAAAAGTACTTTTACTTTTGAGGGCAATTGTAAAGATCCGGATAGAAGCATATAAATATACATATGACAGAGTCCTGGATTCAGATTTTCATGGTAATGTCTTGAGTTGTTTTGATAATTTAAAAATATTTTTACCTTTTTTATTTGAAAATATTCTTTTCCTATCAGTAGTCCCCCTCAAATTCTAACATGAAATATGAACAAGTGACAATGCACAATTGTAGCTAACATCTGTTTTCATTATAAATGAGCACAGGAAGAGGAAATATTATAAGCTAAAATACATAAAAAACTCAAAGCGACAGTCTAAAAAGGCCATTTGTTCCCTGGCAGTAGATTCTAATGGAATGCTGCGGGACACAGAATCTCCAAAGGCTGATATTTGAAGCATGATGTACATGGATTTCAGCACAATCTATGTCGTCTTATAAATCTATTTATTATTGTAATCTATATTTATTTGCAAAGCAAAAAATGGAGAGACATTTGACATATAAGCAAATGCAATGTATATTAATATGTGT